ACGTGGCCTGTTACTTAACGGTTACCAGATGACATGTCATATAGTAATCCACGTGGAAGATAATATAACCAAAAAGTGATGATGTGGAAAAAAAAAATATAAAAAAATATTATGAAAAATAAAACTTAAAATTTTTTTTCTTTTTTCGTTTTTCTTTCTCCTTCCCCTTTCCCTTTCTCTTTCTCCTTCCCATTTCTCTTCCTCCTTCCCCTCGAAACCCAGCAGGCCTGGGTTCCTTCGAACCCACCCAGGCGCTGGGTTCGCCTGGGTTCAGCCTGGGTTCGACAGACCCAGATCACCTGGGTTCGACGAACCCATGCGTTGGGTTCAACGAACCCAGCTAGGTTCGAAGGAACCCGTCGCCTGGGTTCGACAATTCGAAGCTCTGGGTTCCTTCAAACCCAGTGCTGGGTTCGATCGAACCTAGGCACTAGGTTTCTTCTCGAACCTAGGCGCCTGGGTTTCTTCTTGAATCCGGGCACTGGGTTCGTTCGAATCCAGGGGCAAAAAATTTTCTCTTTTTTTTTTTTATGGGTTTGGTTGTTTGATTAAGATGAAGAATTGATTGATGAAGAAGGCAAGGCAAGGAAGAGGAAGGAAAAAGAAAGGGCACTTGTTGGGTTCGATATTGAATTGATTGTTTGATTGAATTGATTGTGTGAATGAAGGAAGATGATGCAAAATTGTAATTTGGTGGGCTCCACTTTTGTTTTTGCGTTGGGTATGACCATGTCATCATTTATCAAGTTGTACAACTGACGTGGCTTAAATTTTTGATATATCTGTGAGTTAACGGACGATTTTTAACAGAAGGACCAAGTTGGGATAAAATGGGTAAACAGTAGGGACCAAGTCAATGATTTTTTTAGTTCAAAGATTAAATTGGGGGTCCATACAATAGTTTGGGGACCAAAAAAGGGTTTTAACCTTTTTTTTTTATGTTAGTTACACAACAAAAAACATTCCTAAAACATTCCTATCTCATTCCTTACTTGGTACCTCATCTTACATATATACCATGCGATTTGAATTCAGGACTTCTTATTTCTAATAAAAGAAAATTACCATTAAACTATTTAAGTTGTTAGGAAACCAAAGTCAAAGATTAAGAATTTGTTTTTATATATGTGCTTGAGACATGGTTTAAGTAGCATGATGTACTAGTTGTGAGTGGTTTTGGTTCCCAAGGAGATTCCATTATGGAGTCAGTTTAAATGATCACTCTTTGGATTGGACCCTGGATTAATAAACCCTTGTATAAACTTTATTTGAAACCAATTCCTCCACCGATCCAATAACATTCATGGTCTTATTTGTTTAAAGTGCACAGGAATGACTTGTGATTTCTTTATTTTCCCTAAAGTTAGTGATCTAAACGAATTCCCCTTCTCCTTAGATGTGGTAGTAATTATATAAATGTAAATTTATTAAAATTGACTCAAGTTGTAAAGTGTGATGTGAATTATGTCAAAAATATAGATTTAAATCGTTTTAATATTATTAAGTGCCAACAATTTTAATTAGCTACACTTACCACACCCTTAAAATTAAAGTTTTATTTGAGATCTATGGATGAAGCAATTTGTAAAAACTCATAGAATTATTTGAGTTAATGGTCCATATTCTCATATTATCTATATATATATATATATATATATTATATATGTTGTAGGGTTAAGACTGACTAGCAATCTTAATCTCTCTGGTGGAACAAAACTGATCCGTTATCTCTTTAACTGTCCCTTAACTAACCCGCAATGGTTTCATCCCATCTCCATTGCTGGGGTGGGTGTCCACCTTGAATTTAGAATACCAAATCCAGACGTTGAGAGTTGCAGCTACAATGCCACAAAACAACACAAATCCTGGTCCAGAAGAAAATTCTCTCTTTTGATCCCTTTTAAAATACCGGTAGGGGAGGGCCCGGCTCCTATTGACTCACAACGTCCCTATCTGAGTCAAGCAATGTAATAAAAAATCCCACCTTGATTCTCGGTTTTAAAGTATGTTAACTGGTTTGACTCTAAACTTTAAGTGTTTGGATAAAGTGGTCGAAGTTTCAAATTTTATTATTATCGTGAATTTCATCAAAAAATTGTTTGATAGCTGCGTATCTCATTTAAGGAGGTGAAATATTCACTCAATCTAAAAATTAGTTACTAACAACTACTAACTCACACTACCTTTTT